CCGTAAATGGTACTTCATAAAATGATACTTGGCAGTTGTATACATCTTGATTTGTAGAGCCATTAATATAATACAAACTTCTATGTGTCTATTATTCAAAATTCTGTGTAATTAAGGATAGGTTCTCTTCTCATACGACTTGTTCTGAGGATTTCCTAAATTCAAGTTTAATGAAAGAGGAGGTGATGATTATATCGAATGAGGAAAAGTCAGCAGAATATATCTTTTACATAATTTAAAAATCAATCATCTATGCTTAATAATATTTGCTACAACTTTCCATTCCTTAGCCCGTTTGACAATACAGTTAACTAACATGATGAATTAAGTATATATTGTAAAATAACACAAATTATATAAATATATACATATGGAGAGAGAAGACACTTGTGTACCTTCACACATGAGCTATTTGCATAGCAATGTTACCTTCCATTTATAATGCATGTCTGAATTTAAGAACTTTGAATTATGTTGTCTTGAGGCATTCTTACATCCACACAGTATGAGATATAGAAACAGAATCAGAAAGAGTTTTATGTTCAACATGATGCAGCTTATGAAAGCAGAAGCAAATTTGAACACTCCTTGTCTTCTGAAAAGAGACACTCACAATCCTGGCCTGCCTGAATATTGTATTGTGGGACAGCGATTATCATCAACCTGTGGGTCACTTTGGGGGTTGAACGACCTTTGGGGTTTGAATGACCCTGTCATAGGGGTTGCCCAATTTCATAACAGTAGCAAAATTATAGTTATGAAATAGCAATGAAAATAATTTTATGGTTGGGGGGTGGGTCACCACAACATGAGGAACTGTATTAAAGGGTCACAGCATTAGGGAAGTTGAAAACCACTGCGCTAGAAGCTAATTACCCAAAAATGCTTTTTCTCATCACCTGTTTGCTATGATTTGTTTTTTTTTCTTTCAGAATTGGAAATCATTCAAGGAATAAGGAACATGGATTCGGAGATGGTGGCTTAAAAGGAATAAGTCAAAAACAAATGTGTGAGGAAAGCTTTACCTTAATAACAGATGTCTCAACTCTGGATGGGGGACTCTGAACTTGCGCTGCTGCCGCCATATTGGCAATGGTGCTGAGGTGGTTCATCTGACTCATTGCCATGGTCACAGATGCGGGAGGTAGGCTGACAGGAATTAGAGGGTGGGGCATCATCATAAAAGGAAGTTCCAGTCCTATTAAAAACAAAACACATACAAATATAAGCATTGCTCTGTTAGCTAATAAAATCAGGAAGCATGGTAAATCTCCATGATTCTAATCTTTATGAATGTAAATTATCAAAAACTGAAGCATTAAAAAATACTATATCATAGTAATCATAGGCAAAGGGAAAACATCCTTTGTATACAACAACACACATTCATCACTCCGAGAAACTAAGCTTAGAGCAACTTGGGTACCCCGGCTTAACACACCTCTAATTTCCATGTGTTTAATACAAGTGATCACAGTAAGCCCTTGCTGTATTATTCGTCTCATCAGTCTAAATCTTTGTGAGATTTTAGGGTTGTCTTTAACTTGTCACAACTATTTATCTAAATGTCATATATCCCTCGAGTGCTCTCTTTTACCCATTCAATAAATATACAGCTTTTTTGTTTTTATAAAACTAAGTTAAGAAATGACATCGTACCATTTGGCAGAAGGTGGTTCTGCTGAAGGTGGTTGAGAGGATGACTAACTAGGAGGCTACGCACTCCAGGTATGCAGGGGGGGGTAAGAGAAGCCTGTGACCCCTGGGTGCGGGGAGAGTGTACTGTTTCCTTATCCCAAGAACCATCACTGCTGCCTGTGGGGAATGAATATAAATTATTGGGATACAATGTTATTCCAAATCTTCAGCTGATTAATCTGAAATGTGGTTACAAAAATCACATTAACATTTAGAGATTTGACCAATAAGTGATTTCTAGGGAAATAAGCCAGATTAAGTAAATTTCCCCTTGACCATATTCTCGTCTTGTTTTATAACTCTTGGATTTGATCACATCAAACTTTTGGACGACGGCATGTCTCTGACATCCTGTTTTCAAGGTTGGATCTAATTTGCCTCCCCAATTTAATATGCATTCAGGAGTTAACTAGTCCTTGGTGTCCAGACACACTGATATTTATAGAACGCAAAGTGTGGTCTTGTATGAAATGGTGTTCTAGTCACCAGTCCGGGTTCAAAGGCCTAACAACTCACCAGCCAATCCCAAGCATGGAATCCTTAAATGCCCACCTTGGTTAGCCATTGTCCAGATAAGCGGAGAAGATTGTTTGGGGAAAGGTCACCTAACATTGACAACAGAATACACTGGTGAGGGAGTGTTCGTGCATGTGTCAATAAAGACATCACTGTTTGAAGCTCAACAAAAAAATCTCAACTTACTGCCATCGAGTTGCTTCCAACTCAGAGCATCCCTGTGGAATAGGGTGGAATGCCCCTGCGGGCTTTGGGAAGGAGTAGGAGCCCTCATCTGTCTCCCATTGAAAGGCTGCTGGCTGGCTGCGATGGGATGAGCTTACAGTTAGCAGCTCCACACAGACTCACAAGTCACCAGGGCGGAGGACATCCACTGATGGCCTGGCAATATGAGCGCCAAAGTCACAACCAGGCATCCCAGAGCTCACGGCGCAGTACCGGTGGAAATGGCTTACATTTAACTAGATCTTGGCCAAGTGTAACCCAATATTCTTTGGAAATTAATGATAAATCATTTCCATTTCACATGCCCCAACTCATGGTAATTCAGCATTTGTTTATATCTTAGCTTAATCTTTTAAACACCCAATCTCCCCCATTTAAAAACAAAATCTGCAATATCTGTCAGTTTGAGTTCTTCATTTCTAAAAGAGAAGAAACCGTATTTTCATATAATAGGCATGAATATAGCAAAGTTGGTAAAACTCCAAGTTAAATCCTTTAGCTCTATTAAAAGCTTCATTGTAAAATCTCTATGACATAGTTTTTAATGAAGAATACTTAGTTACTACCGTGACTTTTTTTCTCCATTTGCTTCATGAAGACGGTTAAGCTTCAATATAAATTCAAACTTATTAGCTCAATACTGTCTGGATCTTAGAGTAAATTGTTCAGAAGTGGGTAATGAAAACTCAATTCAAATTCTTTAGCAGTCAAACAAAGCAATTTTATTAAACAATAAAAGGAATCAATTAAAATAGATATCTTTATTATTTTACAAGAATGTATGACAGCTTTTGGTTAGAAAAAGGAGTTTATTGCTTTATACAGGAACGACTCACATAAAACAAATTAGCTTGCTTCTACATGGTGATGTGAGAGTTCATTTTTATAGTTACAAATTCATTCATCTTACTTTTGTACTCATGACTTTTTTGAACATCTGACCTAAGGATCTAGTCAAGTATAAAAAAATACTTTTAAAAATCATTTCCCCCAATATATGATGTCAAGGCAAGTATTTTGAACATCATCAATGTACACTACCTTTATCAAAATATGTGCACAAAAAATCTTAAATAATATATTCTGAGATGTTTACTATGGTCAAATTTTATGAATCAACATCAGTTCTACCTTTGATGTCAGCAGTCAAAACAAGAAGAGAGGCATAGCCAGTATTTACTTTGAAAATCCACTTTGAAATAAATATCATTTGAATGTTAATTGCATTATAAACATAAATAATAGGCCGTTTTCTCTGCATGCTATGTACTTTTCACTTAAAATGTCCAATGAATGTTAAGATATCATTTTTATAGATTTTATTAATTTAGAATAAACAATGAAAATATGGAGTAAAGAAAAATAATATTTATTACTTTGGATTCTGTTTAGATTATGTTTATTTCTATTATTGACTTTTTCTTTCTTATTCCTTCTTTCTTTCTTTCTTTCTTTCTTTTCTTATTAATTGAACTAATTTCTTCTACTTGGATCTTGATTTCTAGTTAATATATTTGAAATGTTATTTCACCAAATATATTTAAATTTCACTTGTATCAATAGTTATCTTATAATTCAATGTTTTCACAATATCAATGTATACAATTTTAAACCAAACTTCTGATTAAATTGTTGTGAAACAGATTATAGAAAAAACACTACCTATTTTCAAATCTCTTTTGCATTACAAAATCTCAGCCCTGTGGAAGGTAACTAGCAGCTATCCAGATGTGAGTTTTCCACAGCAAGTGTCTCACACTAGATTCAATTTCCCGACTACACAGAATGCTTCCAGCTATCTTCGCCAATCATCATTTGCTAAATCCTCATGATGTTAGCTCATTTGGGTAATAAATAGAGCAAACAATTAAGAAACTAAGTCTGATGAAAAATATACAATATATAACCAAGTCAGCTGTAAGTGATGTTTGCATTATTTATAACACCCTTCCCCTCTATTAGCATGAATAAATAAGATTTGAAAATAGGCTGCTTCAGAATAAGTCATGCCCATAGTTATCAAAGGTATAATTTCAAGTTTTTCAGTTTAAGCAGCTATACTACGAGTCCATGTATACATGTACTACAGCTACACACAAACATATGCACATGTCTATATTGTTCACACGAATGTGCACGATTAATCTCTGTGAAACCTGCAAGAGACAGAACACTCAGGACCAGTATATGCTGAGCTTCAAAAGGGTCCTGGGAAAATTCCAATATCTCTAAATTCCTTCAGGATACTAAGACCCCTTTCCTAGTGTGGCTCCTCTTGTCCTGATGATGTCTCCCTACTCTGCCAAAGCAGACCCAGAGCTCCCATCAAGGCAGAAGAAATCCAGCTATGGAGTAGCATCAGCAGCCCTGGAGTCAGTCTCTTGGAATTCCCTCACCCTTTGCTTCATGGTGAGAAAACCACAGCCCTCCTGTTAGGCAATGTCCCTCCACTGTAAAGATTTCCTACAACCCCCCCTCCTCATGTTTTGCTGCTCTTGTAAATGGAGAAGGAAGACGTTTGTGGTGTCTGGAATGATAGTTAAGGGTGCAATGCTTGGTTCCGTTGCTATTGATAAGCACTGATTGTTTAACTTTCTTGAAAACGGCAAGCACCTGGTACCTTTTGTTCTTGCATGGGAACCACGGGAAAAGTTCCATTCACTATCCTGCTACATAAGCATATTCAATAAAAACCAGCCACACGTACAGCTATGCCACAGATGACATGGGTCATGGATTCGGTAAAGTACCTGAAATGAAGAGGGATTCACGACCCAAGTTTAAAATACTACTTCACCCATTCCCTGAACCTTTCAATCATCTATTGAGGCAAAAGTTCAAAGAGCAATGATTATCATTCATAAAAAAATAAAGAATAATTAAATGTGGAGATGACCGTGAGTAAGAGGAAGATTAATTGAGATGTTGGAACACAAAGAAAACACAGAAAATGGGGAAGGATTGCCATGAAGGATACTGTTACCATTAATATAACTATATAACTCTGGCCAAAATATGTGTATCATTAAGTTATTTTCAATCCTAAATATAGCCGGCAGGTGTCAAAAGAGAAGATCGCAAAAGTTGTAAAATGGATTTTTTTGATGCATGGGATGCAAAAAATCACCCAGTTCAAAATTAAAATTATGCATAAAAGTCAAATACCTTGAAACTACTATGCAGCAAACCAGTGAGAGCATACTGAAACATCAATCATCCTTCACATGTATGGAGATCTTCCTGAAGGCTGACCCTGGTCGAGGAGACAAATCCTGAAGGGGCTCCCGGTCACACTACTGCTTAGTGAGTGACGCTGATAGACTGACGGGAACCTGACATTGTCAAGATTCGTTGACTAAGAAAATGACGGCCAGAGTGGACCTTTCTTCCCTGTCATTGGAGGCCACTTAAAAGGATGTCAAGCCCATCATAACAATGGGAACAAGGTTAGTCACTGAAAGGAAACATGAGTCACAGGTGCTACAAATGTCCACCTGTTACTTCAGTTAGGTGAGAAAAAACAGGTTATTAGCCTTTTATAGCATTAACTTTATGCTAATAAAAGAAATGAGATACAAAATGTCAACAGGGACTCTAATAGTGTGCATGAATGATGAAACCATCCTCTCAGGAGTGGCTGTGATGTCTTTAAGTCCCCACCCCACCCCGAGATAACCATCTGAACATGGTTGATCTTCGATAGCATACAGACACCCCAAAACCTGCTGCTGTTTTGATTCAACTTTATCTAATTGCTCTATTTTAAAATACAGAAGAGGCAACTGTTTAAGGGTACAATTAATTAGGGGAGCAATTAACAATGCTCCAGCTTGAGCAGAGTGGTTCAGCAAAGAAACTACACACGTGTCTTCTAATCTGTGTTGCAAACAATGATCACATAATAGACCACTGACACATACATAATACCTGACGTAGGGAATGCTAAGTTCACAAGGGTTGGAGAACAGCCACGGATTGGTTGTCATGGAACCAACCACTTGGCTTATCTCTGGCACATACATTGGTACAGATGGGAACTGAAAACACAGGGAGTCCAGGACAGATAATCCCTTCAGAATCAGTTGTGAGAGTGGTGATACCTGGGGTGGAGGGAAGATGGGGTAACCTCCTCCCCGGGGGATGGACAATAGAAAAGTGGGTGAAGGGAGGTGTCGGACAGTGTAAGATATAACAAAATAATAATAATTTATAAATTATCAAGGGCCCATGAGGGAGGGGGAGGGGGGGAGAGGGGTAAAAATGAGGAGCTGATATTAAGGGCTCAAGTAGAAAGCAAATGTTTTGAGAATGATGATGGCAACAAATGTTCAAATGTGCTTGACACAATGAATGGATGTATGGATTGTGATAAGAAT